AGAGGACCCGGTCGCCACCATTCACGTCCGTCGGCCAGTGTAAATTGTGGTTCTGTGCGCCAGCAAATAGTGTGTGGGCATTGGGGGCACGAGCTGTACTTGATGTTGTGCGTGTTTGCGTAAGCAACGACAGTGTGGACTTTTTTCAATTGTTTTTGTTCTTACTTATTTCGTAATAACTTTTTTTTTAGGCGGTTTCATCGTGTACCACTCCCTCTTTATGTATTTATTCCCGACTGTTGGTTTTTATTTATTTTTGTTTGGTTATAAATTACGCACGCAAATGAGTGCACCATGTATGCTGAGGGGTGATTTTTTTTTTTTTTATTGGGTTGAGGGAGTGTGTGGGGGTGCGCTCTGTGCGGGTGAGCGGTGGGCACTGAGCGGCATTGGGAATGTGATGACGGCTCTCTGCTGGGATGTTGTAACTTTGCCGTAGTTTTTGTGGTGGAGGCAGGAAAAGCGTCATGTCTGTTTCGATCGTTGTGGAGGATTTGGTTTGTGTGTTTTTATTACTGTTGGGTATTTTAAGCATGACCCCTGTCTTGTTTATTTTTATTTTTATTTTTATTTTTTTGATGGATTTGAGAGAGAGCTATTTATATCTGTATGTGCGTGAAGAATATTTATATGTGCATATTGTTGGTGCTGATTGCGCGTGTGGAGAGCCGGGGGGCGGCGGAGGTGCATTTTTATTTTTTGGTTTTTTTTTTGAAGATGTTTTTGGTTTTGTGAACGTTCGAACTGCCACGTTGTGCCCGCATGCGATTGTGTTGTCATGCGGCGTGTGTATATTTCCGTATATATATAGTATACTATAATATAATGTAATATAATATAATATATAATATATATACGGCAAAAATTAACGAGGTGCATTTATGGCCTCTCTATTCCGCTCCCTTGTTTTTCTTACGTTTGATTTACCTGGGCCTTTAGCCGGGAGTTCATTGGGGTACGGCAAGGGCGGTGGCTGCCGACAAGTGTGCTTCCTTATTGTTTGCTTGGGTTAGAGATTTTTTCTTTTTTTGGTATTGCGCCTGCATGGAACTCTTCTCCTCGCTGTCACTACTGACGGTGTGGCTGCACGAGAACAGACGTCTGTGTGCGTGTGTGTCCCATGGCGTGTTACCCGTTTTTTTATTTTTATTTCTGGGAAATGAAATTTGTGCTTTTTTGCCCGTGCCGGTGGTGGCATGTCTCTCTGCCCCGTCTCTTGTGGCTTTGAGTGGCTGGGCACACCCCTCTTCCCTCCTTTTTTCTCTTCTCTCTTAGGATGGCGTGTGGCGCGGCACGGCACCGGCTCGTCCCCATTGTTTTGACGCGTGTGTGCCCCGACGAGGGGACGTCTGGTCGTTGATGGCTGTTGCGGTGTGTGTTGTCGGCGCTGGGCGGGCCGCTCGCACACCAACTCAGGGGCGGCGCCGAGTTTATATGATCCCGCGTGGCGGCAGGGACCATCTAACGCTGC